CGTGGCAGGGCAGTCAGGTAGCGGCGGAGTCGGCGGCGCGGCGCAGTCTTCGCGCGGTCTTCGGGCGCGTGCGCGGCGCGGTCTTTGGGCGCATGTGCGGCGCGGTCTTTGGGCGCGGTGCGGTTCTCGGGCGCGGGCGCGGTCTCCTGCCAGGTGTTGTTCCTCCCCTGAGAGGTTCTGAGAGGTCTTTTATCTTCATTGCCCAACCAGCACAAAAAGATCTGTGCTGGCTGCAACAACAGAGAGAGGATCATCCAAGGGCCCTGACTTCAAAAAGCATTTCCAAGGTTGGAACTGGGACTCTCAGTTATCCTATTTCACTCTCAGACAATGTCAGGAGACCGTGGAAGGGTATCCTTATTATTGGACAAACTTTTGTGATATAGCCTTATGCCATAATACATTTATCTGTGTTTAAGATGCTTCAGGATTCCTTGCTCATTGTTTTGTTTGTTTGTCTTTTCCAAAGAAGTTAACTGTCTTCACTGTTTGTTCTAGGGAAGATCCTTGTCATTTAAGACCTTCCTCATCTGGGTTTTGATCAGTATTTATCAAGGTAGGAAATCTGGCTTTTTTTCCCTCTTGGCTAAAGATTTTTTTTTTCCCTGTAATGGCTTCACAGCAAAATTCCGAAAGCTTAACATTTCTTCCATAGGGATGCCTTCTGTTTGTCTTGAAATAGCACATTCAAGCATCATCAAGCCTATTTGAAGTGCAGCATGGAATGGTATTTTCAATGAATGTCTCCTGAAATTGAGTCGACTTATAAGCTGTTTTTATGCATGCCCTACATGGGTTTGATCAGTGCACAAAAGAGGAAACATCACTACTCCAGCACACAGTGCTCCTAGTTTTGGGACAACTGCTCTGCTCATCTTACTTCCAGAACTGTATATGTGAAAGATTTCCCAGTTGCACCGAAGGGCCTATGTGGAATGCTGCACAGTTGTGTGAGAATCTCCGTACACCGAGGTGCATGCATGTAGAGCCTTTTTTGTATATTCAGCTGATTGTGTGAACATCATGTGTGGGTGCTTTGATGTAAGAAGCATAGCTATCAGCTGTTTCAAAGAGTACATATACTTCATATGCTGCACAATAGCATTTTTCCCCAGAGTGCTAGGAGTCCTTTTGCAAAAATCCCCATTACAAAACTAACTAAAACCCTTGTGTGCACCTTTGTGTATGGTCACAAATAAAATGAAAGCCTTTTGAAACATGCAATAGGTATATCTAGAAATGGAATGTTACTGAAATATTTGTCGACAAGTTTACTTTAGCAGCTGCCTTTGAAGCCTAGCTAGTATTTTCAAAATGATTGAAAACTGCTATTTACGATAACAGGATTTTTAAAGGATAGCATTCTAAGGCACGGTGTGTGCATGAAAAACCAAAATATATGATGTATCTGTAATTGAATCTCTATTATGTCTGTCCCAGGTGGCATTCTGATGTATGGAGCTCTTTTGCTTTTTGAATCTGAATTTGTCCACGTTGTTGCCATTTCCTTCACTGCACTAATCCTGACTGAACTCCTGATGGTTGCACTTACCATACGAACATGGCACTGGTTAATGGTGGTGGCTGAAGTCTTCAGTCTCTGCTGCTATGTGGCCTCTCTTGCATTTCTAAATGAATATTTTGGTGAGTTGTGTAGACTTTGTTGTCCTGTTTTAAGATGCCATTCTTACCAAAGAGTTAGCTACTACTAAAATATAAAATATTATATTTATAGTCTGCTGTATTGATTTCACTTAGTTTGTATTGATCAGTTGCCAAAGCTGAACTCTAGGCAACCTACTGAAAAGAAGTATCTTACATTATAAATAAAAATCTGATCTTCATCTCAAGGTCTTTCACACATCTATTAGGAGAACCCCTCACCCCATAATCAAAAATCAAACTTCTTTTGGACCATAAGTAAGTTTCTGGCTTCTACTTACCTAAATTAGGTTTTTAAAAATAATGTTCACTCTTAGAATATGCTTTAATATGTAATTTGCAGTCTGTAGGAGAGTAATTTTCAGGCAGTACTAACTTCTTTCAGTCCTTTTAGAGCTCTCTAATACATTCCTTTTTTTAAATATTGCATCTTTTATTTCCTTGTTTTCCTATAAATCTGTCCTTTCTTCTTCCACCTTATCGGAGCAGGTATAGGCAGAGTGTCTTTTGGAGCTTTCTTAGGTAGGTATAATTGCTATTTTTCTTAAAGGTAAGGTGCTTCAGAGAGCACTGAGATAAACTCAAATATAGCCATAATATTTCTAGTAATGAAAAACAAAACCCTCCCTTCATATTTCACTGATTCATAAATGTGTGGCAAATATTTACTAGTTCATAAAGAAGTTTTCTAACCATGGTTATAAAAATACTGCACACGTAATGGCTAAAAAGTTGGTGAGCAAGGAAGCATAATTTTATATACATATTTTTAATGTATTATATTTTAATTTACGTTGTGAGCCGCCCCGAGGCTTCGGCGAATGGGGCGGCATAGAAATGTTTTAAATAAATAAATAAATAAATAAATAAATTTAGACCCACTCTTTTGAGCATGCAGGTGCTAAAGACCTTTGTACATTTGGTGCTAAGTTCTGTAGGAAGGCTGCAATGGCATTCATCTGAATACAGAAACTCCCCTTTGATCAGGAAGCCTGCCTGATTTCTCAGAAATTGCAAGCATGCTCAGCTGAATGTCCTTAGAAGCTTTCTGCAGGTGTTTGCACTCATGACTTGAAGATCCACAGAGCAGCTGAGATGTTGAGGGTGGGACTTGCATGCATGCAGTTATCCTGCTACTCTTTCGACTTTTACATATGCAGGTTGAATGCTGGCATAGGGCTATCATGATCATGAAGGAAGCAGGTTTAAATGTGTACTGATTTCAGCCATGTATCGCGTGTTTGGTGGTTGTTTAAAGTAAGCAAAGGTGATTTGTCCTGAAAAGTAAACTTGACTGTGGATATAAGTGGGGGAAAGTATCTTAAGGGTTCTTTTTGTAATGTGTGCTGGAGGAAGCAGAGGTGTGGTATTGGTCCCTTCAAGACTCCAAAAATCTCTGATTCACATTGGGGCAAAGTTTAGTCTTCAGTTTTAACCGATTATCCATGTTATCTGATTGGAATAATTGTAACTACATAACTGATGTAGTTACGTGATTGCAGAAATAGAGTGAAATCTTGAATAATAGTAATTAATCAGAAATGGGCAACTTATTAGTTCCTATAGCAGGGGTGGGCAATGCGTGCCCCCACCCCCGAATTAGCTGGTGGCAAAAAAGTAAATTAGGTTCAAAAACCTCAAAATGGCAGTTTACTACTACAGAGCACTTAAAAGGTCCAATTTAGTTTGTTCTTAAGCTTATGTTATTCCTTTCAGTACTCTGTAATTGCTCTAGTGCACTAAGAGTCAAAATCAGCTGCAGAAAAAGCTAAATTTGACCTTTTTAAGGTCTGCAGCACTTTTGTCACTAAAATCCAGGAACACTGGCAGTTTTGCCCTCCTGCACTCCCAGAGTGCCAGAGGAGTTTGGATGATCTTGAAGTCTGCCACTAATTTATAATTAAATGGAAAGTTATAGGCTATTCTAGAATGTCTATAGATTATAAATGGGATGCTAAAATAAAGGGCCAGATCCAGATTTTTGACTTTGATAATTCATGTTCATCGTGGAAATATCAGACATGTTTAATATGATACAGGGAGAGACTAATACAGATTAATGAAGATTAAGAAGGTCTATGTAGAAATTAATAAAATTAAACATTTTAATTCTAAAATTACCATCAATTTTGTTTAAACAATACTGAATTTTAAAAATGATTTTAAACAACTTTACCCAGTTCTTTCTCATATCTGGCTTTGAGCAGTAGGGTGAATTTTGGTATCTCTCTTGATGGTATCATTTATGGCATTTTCGGAACAGATAGAGGAAGAAAGTACATTTTTGGAAAAGTCGTATGACGGTATATAATTGCATCCAAAAATTAGCCTGCACTTGACACACTACAGCCTGTAAAAAAAGCCTGTGACAACCTTCCAGTGATATTTATTGATTCTGCCCAATGGACATTCTCTCGCTTTCCTGCTTTTATAACTTATTCTCCCCCTTTTATGTCTATAGATGTTGCCTTTATCACAACTGTGACCTTCCTGTGGAAAGTGTCAGCCATCACCGTAGTAAGCTGTCTTCCACTTTATATTCTGAAGTACTTAAAACGTAAATTTTCTCCTCCAAGCTACTCCAAACTTACCTCGTAAAAGTGACTAAACACCTGTGTGACTAAACACCAATGTGACTCTAGTTAAAAATTGCTTGAAACATATTCATTCCACTTTAGTCTGTGATAAGTTAAGGAAGAAAAAATGATAAGTAAAATGGAGCAAGCAGAGCACAAAGAAGACGAAAGCCTTGACGGATGTAACAATGAACTTTAATAGCAGAGCCATCCAGATCATCCAGATTTCATTTTGTATGTGGCTTTTAAAAGCATCTGAGTTAACAGTGCTTCTGAATTATTTAACTGCTTCTATAAAGGATTTATTCCTACTGCACTATTTTTTGGCACATAGAACAGAAAAGTTTTTTTTTCCCTGTAAGCTCATAATTTCCTGACCATCAGATTCTTTCATAGAAATGTTCATTCATCTTCACATAAATGAAGTATAACAAACCTAGAAACTGTAAATGCCATTGTCTGTATTTGCTGCTATATGTAACTCTGATATATGCACTATATGAATTATGTACAGCTGTCTGCATAGCACAGTATTTGTTTAGGATCTGTGGGTCCTCTTTTTTCCTGTATTCTCCATTGCTAGCTGCATAAGAAATCAGAATATTTGAGCAGCATTTCAACTGCAAATGGAGGTCAAGTTGCACAAGATGTGATGAAAATAATCTTCTGTACATAATTTAATTATGCCTACTGATCTGTACAGACTGCTATAGACTTTACTGTTCATCAGATGTTTTATAAGTTCCTACCTGCTTTGTATTTGTACAACTTCACTCAAACAGTGTCAGCACATTCCTGGACATTTCACATAGAGGAATTTACCTTGTATGGAACAGTCTAGCAACATGCTACCTTCATTTTAGTGGAGTTACACACAAGCCCCATTGAACTGAATGGAAATACTGCAGTAGCCATGCTTAACAGGCCATGCCCAAATACCCCAGCCAGTGATCTGTTCAGGATGCAGGAGTTCCAGTGCCCACCCATGCTCAGCTCCCCATTAATTTCAACGGAGGGAGCTGATCCATGTTTCTTTTTCCCTTTTTTTTTTTTGCATGCGAACGGACTTTCTTTAGCTTAAATGAATGAAGGGCCCCAAGCATAGTTCATGTGAACATAGACATGGAACTCGAAGTCAGGCAAGTATGTGCACACCATGATCTGTTTCCTTAAGGTTACTCAGGTAAAAAGTGCAGAACGGATATATTAGTAGAAAATCCATCATCTTCCAAAAGATAATTTGTGCATTTCTGAATTACTCCAAGAAAGGTAAATGGCACTCTCTGATCTGATAGTTATTTAAATCTTACGTACTGTACTGTTATGCAGAATACACTTTTCTTCCATAGTACTATTTCCTTTATCAAGAAGTACATATACCAGGTATTTCAGCATAAGTCAGTAATTAGCTGAAAGAGCAGACATCCTTTAACCATGCTTCTTTACTAAAGGAGGATTTATTTGTACATTTTAAGCAGTTAATACTTGTATTTTATATCAATAATACCGTATTGTTTTGTTAGACTTCTGACAACAGAACTCGTTTTGTAGTTCCGTAGAACCAGCCTCTCAAACCCTTGTTATTTTCTAATGATGCTAAATGTAACGCTTACAGAAAAAGACTGTTGCCGAACTATTTGAGCTACAAACCACTCCATTTGTTTCGAGGCTGATGTTTAACAGCAGCTGATTCTTGCTTTAAAACATTTTTGAACGTCTCTTCATGATAAAAGCAATAAAACCTCATTTCTACCAGATATTCTTGAAAATTTGTAAAATAAACATGTTTGGTAGTGTTTCTTTTATGTTGTGCTTATTCGTTTGCTTTCTTATGGAACAGTCAGTTTATGCCACTGGCCACTAGATGTCGCTGTCTGGTGGGGGCTTTCTGTGCCTGCAGGCTGCTTTGCTCACAGTATGTGAAGTTTGCTAAGTGATCTCTTAAGCTGTGCTTTAACTTGGAAAACATATACATGATTACAGGTAATTAGAAGCCAATGAGCAGAATAGTCAGCAATATTATATCCCATGTCCATTTCTATTGTAATTCCTTACTCATATGGTCCAAATAGAAACCCGCAGAATGCTTACATGCAGTGAACGAAGAAAAGCCTAATGATGCTTCGTCATCTTTTGATACAAAATACATTTATTGTACACTAAATTAATAGCAGTTCACACCTGACTGTAAATGCAAGCAGTTTTACCCTAGCATATCGTGTACAAGCACTACAATACATACATAAATGTATCATGTATTTCATGTATATAAATGTGTATATATGTATATTAAAATTTTGACTGACAATTATATGGTTAGTGTGAGAGCACTGTGTAAAAATCACACAACTAACACATATGTGTAAGTTGGCATTTATAGCTTAGCATGCCTGATACAAACAAATTGCTTTGGATAGGACAGAAAAGCATTACCTTTTCACATGTGTTGTACTGTCAGCATCAGATTTGTAGAAAGGTTTGCAGCATAGGTTATCTGTCAAAAAACATTTTTCCCCAGCAATTATCTCTGTGTGAGGGACACAGAGAAATCAAGTGTACGAGTTTATGCTGCCTTTGCAACAGGAAAGACATTGCTCTGGAGCAACTATAAAAGGAATTCTATTTAAACCATTATTGGTAGGCCCTGCCTAAAACAATCAAGGTACAGATGAGATAGGGAAAGGCAGTATCTTCTGTGACTGAACCTGATTCCACACTTTGTATGAGCATATCATATATGCCTTCATGTGTCAGCACCCTGACTTGCACTTGTGTCATTTTATTTTAGACACATCCAATATGTGTGGTTCTGGGTTCCAATTTTATGTAGAATTATTTAACGCTTCAGGAAAGTTTTCAGAAAAGTAAGTTTCTCACTGGAAGTTACCCATTGCTCTGCAATCAAACTGATTCATTATCCCATGTTTACATATCACAAAAGTACTTGTGATTTTGCACAAAATCAGAGCAACTGTTCACCATATAAAGGTGTTACCAACACCTAATTGTTCATTCAGACTAAATAGATCAAGTCGGGGAATTCCTTCATTCTTTCCAGTTCCTTAAGTGTGTGAAACTAGTGATGCAAAGCATTGTCACCTGACTCACCGTTTCCTGCAGTCATATTAGTCAAGACTTAAAATCACAGAGCTTGTGGGAATTTCCTGGGTCAGTTCTCACCAGCAGCTGGAATCCAGGCACCATGGTGTGATTAGAGGAAAAAAGCTGGTGCCCCTCTCCCATGCTCTTAGAAACATAGTGTACATTTTTAATTTATAATAAATTGCCAATATGGATATAACAGGTGACATGAAAACATGGTTGTGGGCTGCTAACAAATATCCAGTCTGCTAGGAGAAAAATTTAAGTCCTGCTGCAGTACTGAGAAGTTAATGCAGCCAATATTTAGAATAGTTAAAATTATTATTGCTATTATTTCATTTCTCTACCACCCCACAGCAGAATCACTCTCAGTGGTATACAGCAATGTATACAGACTGTTTGTTTTAAAATCTGATGGGGAAAGGAGTTTGGCCAAATAGATGGATAGATGAGGGAAATATAATAGAAACACTACAAGAACAATAGTGTAGGAAACATTGCTAGAAACTGGCATGGTGGCTTTGAGGAAAGAAAAGGAAATAGCATTCAAGGCCCTCAGCTATATAAACCTATTGCAATGATACAGGTTTATCATGTAACAGACCTCAGGTATGATTCCTACCTGTAAATTTCTGGGTGAAAAAGATGGTGTAAAACAGAGCATATACCCACAAGACCGAGTGGAGTGACTGGCAGGGAATTGAGTCATCCTGTCCACTGCTGTGCTTTGCACTGTATACAAACCCCATCATCAAGTCTTGCTGCCTTCTATGTTCAATTAAAGGATTGCCCATTCTTGTAATGGTAGGGCTGGGCCCAGAAGGGAACAGTAATGTGAAGGATCTTGAGCATAACTGAATGTGATTGCTTTTACCACATCACCTACCACAAAGAAGTAAAGCAGATTTATTGAAAGGATCCACTTCAGATGTTAAACGGCCACATTTTCACTCCACTCGCTGAAGCTACTCTTTATAGCATCCTTTTTGTTACCTCATGTTGTTAAGACTGCAGGCTTCAATAAATAATAAGGGTTTACTATGGGTTTACAAATGGTTTAGACTGGTGCTTCTCTTGTTATATTAGTACAGCTAAGGCACATCAGCTCTGTATTTCTTACATAAAAATTAAAGGAATAAGAAACCTGTTCTTTATTATCCTTGCAAGACAGGTTTTATTCCAAATAAGGAATTCCCGTGTTCCAAGTTTCAAAAAGCCCAGCTGAACAGGCCTGACAAATAATGACAATAATAATGAAATGTGCTACTTCATTTATGATCTAGCATTGAATCCGTTAACTAAGTATGTTTTCTATGGCTCTTGACATGGAAGGTGATCCTGTAATTCTACTGGAATACAGAATATGGAACTCTTCACTGAATGCAGCATTGAAGGATTTCCGTTTCAGTAGCTGTTGAAATACCCTCTAGAACATGGAACCAGCACTTCCCACAGAACACTTGCGATCAGTTTCCTTGCGCGGACAAGATCCTATTAATGGAATGGTGCAATGGTCTTATTGTTTTTTTAAGCTTAGCAATTCATATTGTCAAAGGCAGCTCTCCCATGATGCAGCACAAATCCCTCTAATCTTAAAACCATGGAGCAGAAGGACCAGCCCATCACATGTTCCTCCATTTGTGCCGTTGTGGCATTTGCCACAGCGGGAGAGTGAAACCAACCGCACCTCTGGCCTGCCGCCTGCTAGCACTACAGCAAGTGATCCAAAATTACCTTGCTATCCCATTGCGGCAAGTGCCACTGTGGGAGATTTGGTCACTCTCGGGACTCTCAGGAGAAACACCACCCGTCCTGTAGCTGTGGATTCTCACGGTGTGATTGGATGGGTGGGCTCCCTCTCAGAAGCGTTGTTTGGCCATAAGCGGTTACTGCTGCCCTGCGCAGAGTTAGCCAAGCGCTGGGGAAAGGATAGTTCTTAATTATTGCCTCTACTGTGATGAAAGAGCAGGTGAAGGGCTGGGAACTGGGGGCAGGGGATGTGGCAGGGGTGGGGTGGATGCAGTGCAGGACGTGTCTACTCTTCTGCTTCAGGTGGTAGGGAAGAATGTGTGATTCCTGGCTGGTACCAGGAGCTTCCTGGACTGTTTCCTTCACTTCTGCAACTTGCTTCTTCACCTGCCCTTTTGATCGCAGCAGCCCCATTGCGTGTGTCGGGGGAGGAGCACCAGCTGCCACTGGCTACCTGATCCCTGTCTGTCAAGCAAGAAATGGCGGGGAGGCGGAGCAGTGGCAACAAGAAAGGACAGGGGTCTTTCTTGTGGGGCAGGGGTAAGGGCAGGGGTCTCCTGAGGGTGTCTTGTCCAAGGGCCCTCCAGAACCTGGAACCAGCACTTCCTATTGTCCCCATGAGACATGTGCCATCCATTTCCCAAGTTTGTCCCTTGGTTGCTGAAGCTGAAAATCATCTCTAGACTAATTGCAAAGCCTCTTTTGCTTTTTCCAGATGCAGTGGTGATGTTCTTCATTTCTACAGATGCTGGTATAAAAAAAGCATGAGAATGAGACCCCTTCTTCCTGCAAGGCAGCTTTGTACAGCAAGCAGATTTGTATAGCAAGGCTGGTGGAATTATTATTATTATTATTATTATTATTATTATTATTATTATTATTCAACCCCAATGAAAATAATTTAAAAAGCCCTTCAATATGTTTAGCCCTCCTGCAGGGAAGAAAATCAGCAGTAGGGAACACAGTCCCAGCATTATATGTAAACAAACAGGAGGTACAATATCTTTTAATGCTGCTGAAAAAACATAGGAATTTCTCTGGTAAACAAAACACAGTCAGAGCTATATGATTCCCAACCAGTATTAACAGCCCAACAGATGCCCTCAGCAGGGTTCACAGCTGTTACTGTGTGAGTAGGATTTGCTCAGCCAATTGCCAGTGAAAATCTTCTCCGTCAGATACGGAACTACAGTCAAAGGCCTATTTGCCACTCCATCAGCTGAAAGCCATAGATTTGATGAGTGCGTTCTGCAGCAAAGTCAGCACAGTCAGATGCCTGGAACCGAACACATTCATGAACTGTTTTGTAGTCACATGTCTCTCCCTTCTGCTGTTACTTTTATTCCAAATTAGGGTTCAGACTAATATTTGGCAGCCTTCATTTGCTCATCTAAGCATGCACACAGCAAGTAGTGAGCTTTTTTTTTTTTACGGAAAACCAAGGTGGATGTGTTCCAGCCTATTCTTCAGCAGTGGGATTATTACATGCATGGTTTACACTTTCTGAAGATTTGGGTTTTCACTTATTATTGGAGCAACCCGTCATGCATCTATCATTAAGAACATCAGATCAAAGGCCTATCTCATCCTGCCCTCTGTTTCCCAGGTTGCCAACTGGATGCCTAAGGAAAGCCCAAACTAGAACATGAACATAACAGCACCTCCCATTCATGTTCCCCTCAACTTGAACTTAGAGGCACATGACCTCTGATCTGGAGGCAATATACACTTACGATTAGTAGCCCTTGGGGCTGTACTTGCCCACAGAGAGTCCAGGCTTTGTACAATGCCAGGCATTTCCATGCAGGAAGCATGCAAAATAGCTCTCTTGTGTCAGCAGAATTCCCCACCACTTGCACCCCACTCTTCCCTGACAGCAGCAAAAACAGTCCCTGCTGGAAGAGCACTGGATGCTAGTGGGTTGGATCAGCCAACCCAGCAAGCTAGATTAGAC